CTTCCTTTTTTTTCCCCACAAATTGAGCTTTCTTTTGGTGGTATTTGATCGCCTGTGCGTTTTTTATTTTTTGCGCTATAAAAAAAAAAAAAGGCTGACAATTTTGAGGAAAAAAAAACAATATTTTTTTGCTATAAAACATGTCCAGTAAAAAAAAAAAAAAAAAAAAATTTTAGTCATAAATTTCTGCCAAAATGTACTCTGCGACATGTCTTTGCTAAAAAAAAAAACCCAATACGTGTAAATTAATTGGTTTACGTGAAAGTTATAGAGTTTACAAATGGCAGGAAAGATACTGGGATTTTTAATTTTTTTTTTTATACTAATAATGGCGGCGATCAGCGACTTATGGCGGGACTGCGGGACTACGGCGGACATTCTGACACTGGGGGGGGGGGGGGGGGGAAACTGACTTGGGGTCACTGACATCCCCAGTGACACCAATACAGTGATCAGTGCAAAAAAAAAAAAAAAACACAACACTGACACTGTACTAATGGCACTGGGGAGGAAGGGGTTAACTTTATTATTCACTGAAAGGGTTAACTGTGTGAGGGGAGTGTTTTACTAGGGGGCGGAGAGGGGAGGTGTACTGCACGGAGACACACTGATCCGGACAGATAAACTCTTCTGTCCTGATCAGAGTGTCAGGAGCTGTCAGGGAACTACTGCTACTGCAGCTGTGCTCTGTCAGTGATTGCTGCTAATCACCGGGACATAGCCGGTAACGACCGGCTGTGACCCGGCGAATGACATCCGCGGCCACGATTGGCGGGACAGGTAGGGCGATGGCATGTCTCGGGCGCACCCCCTACCTGTTTTGAAAACACACGCTTTAAAACGTGGTTTTGCCCAGCCATGCCGCCCTGCCAACGTATTTATACAGTGGCTGGGCGGCATGTGGTTAAAAAAACTCTTTGGTTGCTTTTGCAGTATGCTTTGGGTCATTGTCCATCTGCACTGTGAAGCGGCGTCCAATGAGTTCTGAATCATTTAGCTTTATTGATACTAGCTGATAGACCATTCATGATCTGAAGTACACTGGTTTCAGAATTTAAACATACTAATTTTATGTCATGTTTATGATGGATTTCAATGAGATAATTTTTTTAACCATATTGGTTTTATTTATGCGTTTGACGTATTTTATGCATCATTTTGCCTTTATCTGTATTCCCATGAGATACGAGTCATTTGTATTTATATTGCTATAGTGATTCAATGACCCCAATGTCACCAAATGAGGAGTGGTTTTTATATCGATATCCAGAATTTCTCTTTTAATAATGAAATAAGCAATTTTTAAATATTTTTTTATGATTGAATAAGCTATTTCTATTACAATGGGGCATTAATTATGTTCCATGTGTAATTATAGCAGTATCTCTTGCCCTATATTGGTTCCCAGATTGAAGGATCTTGTTTCCAATAAGATTACTGCCATAACATTACTTGTTCCCAATAAGATTATTGTTCCCAATAAGATTACTGTCAAGCTTGCATTTTGTATGTCCATATAATCAGACTATATGGAACAATACTTTTTGGGCTTCTAAAAGATGGCCGCCGTCGGCACCAATGCGCATGCGCGCACGTTTGATGGCCGTCGCGATCGCCAATGCGCATGCGCGAACCATAGCAACGGCACTGTCGCATTGCGGTGCACATTGGCGCCTTTTTTCACTATTTAAACACTACACCTACCATTGGCACAGTCCCCTCTGATGATGTGTATTAACACGATACGCGTTAGGGAAGTGCCAATCTCTGTATCTCTTGTACATGTACCTCTGGTCTGGCCGTTCACGAGCAGCTGTACCTTTTATTCCTGTAACTCTGAAGGTCCTGTAGCTGGGGGCTGTGCATAGCAAGATCACATCTGCAAGTGACATCCCTGGATCCATGAGACATCTCCTCCACGGATGGATGACATCTAGTGGTCGCCCTATAGATGACACCCGCTTGTTCCATTAATACAGTGGCTGGATACATCTTCTGCACGGACGGATGACATCTAGTGGTGGCCCTACAGATGACATCCCCTTGTTCCAGTGATACAGTGGCTGAGTACCAGGGGCAGGTCTTAAATGCCCCATGCGCTATTTATGTGCTATCTGGTTAGTGCATTATTTGACTATTCTTATCACCACGAAAGTCACTATTTATGGTTTTTGGCATATCAGAGACTGTATGCACACTTCACCTCAGCACTTCTGATGAACTCCTGCTGGCATTTTACTAATCCACTGACATCAAGTCATATATGTTTTATCATATATTTATTTAAAGTCACCATTTGTGTAGCGCTGCACTTTTATTCTTTATCATTTACTGTGGAGGTTCCCGAGGTGCCTTTTTTGTTGCCAGCAGCTACCATATTTCATAATTTATACACTGCGCTCGATTTTGTATATATAAGTTTTAGATAATATTGCCCGAAACACTTCAGAATTCATCCTGCTGCTTTTGTCAGCAGTCACATCATCAATAAATACAAGAGAACCAGTTCCATTGGCAGCCATACATGCCCACGCCATGACACTACCACCACCATGCTTCACTGATGAGGTGGTATGCTTAGGATCATGAGCAGTTCCTTTCCTTCTCCATACTCTTCTCTTCCCATCACTCTGGTACAAGTTGATCATGGTCTCATCTGTCCATAGGATGTTGTTCCAGAACTGTGAAGGCTTTTTTAGATGTCGTTTGGCAAACTCTAATCTGGCCTTCCTGTTTTTGAGGCTCAACAATGGTTTACATCTTGTGGGGAACCCTCTGTATTCACTCTGGTGAAGTCTTCTCTTGATTGTTGACTTTGACACACATACACCTACCTCCTGGAGAGTGTTCTTGATCTGGCCAACTGTTGTGAAGGGTATTTTCTTCACCAGGGAAAGAATTCTTCGGTCATCTACCACAGTTGTTTTCCGTGGTCTTCCGGGTCTTTTGGTGTTGCTGAGCTCACCAGTGCGTTCCTTCTTTTTAAGGATGTTCCAAACAGTTCTTTTGGCCACGCCTAATGTTTTTGCTATCTCTCTGATGGGTTTGTTTTGTTTTTTTCAGCCTAATGATGGCTTGCTTCACTGATAGTGACAGCTCTTTGGATCTCATCTTGAGAGTTGACAGCAACAGATTCCAAATGCAAATAGCACACTTGAAATGAACTCTGGACCTTTTACCTGCTCATTGTAATTGGGATAATGAGGGAATAACACACACCTGGCCATGGAACAGCTGAGAAGCCAATTTTCCCATTACTTTTGGTCCCTTAACAAGTGGGAGGCACATATGCAAACTTTTGTAATTCCTACACCGTTCACCTGATTTGGATGTAAATACCCTCAAATTAAAGCTGACAGTCTGCAGTTAAAGCACATCTTGTTTGTTTCATTTCAAATCCATTGTGGTGGTGTATAGAGCCAAAAATGTTAGAATTGTGTCCATGTCCCAATATTTATGGACCTGACTGTATCTCTTGCGCCACTCTCCTCAATAGATCCCCAAATCCTTTTATGTTCAACTAAATAAAATATTTTCCTCCTTTCTGTGGTGCCCGCAAAACCACGTTACAAGTTAACTACTTTAATGTGTCCATCTCTCCAGGTGGGGGGGTCGGCTCTGCCAGACTGCCATAAATACTACTTAGCCATGCAATTGGTGACAGCTCACTGGTGGTTACAATCGGAGATAACTAATGCTAGCACAATGCTGGAGACTGCGGTTCTGGGTTCCCTAGAGGCCCTACAATTCATACTCTTTGGTGGCCAAAGGCTCTGTACCCCCTCTATGGAAATGACAATTAAGGCCTGAAACCTGGGGCTTCAGTTAGAAACCCGTGACCCTTCAACGTTATCCCCTCGTACACCCCTCTGGAATAACCCTTCTTTACACCATTTCTATGTTTTGCCTGATCCACAAATTTGGGCAAAACATAACCTCAGGTCTATCACCCATACAGTGAACAATGGGAAGATGATGTCTTTTATCTCCCTGCGATCTGCTTATAATGTCCCTTCACATTGCTCAAATAGAAATATGCAACTTGCACACACCTTTGACAGCCAATTTTCTCATAGGACTATACAGTTAGAATGTTGAGATCTGGGAGGTCCTCCTCTGCTCTTATTCTCTTATAAAAACCAGCTTCCATGCTTTACACACATCTTGTAAAGATAGCACTACCTGACTTACTTAGCCTTAGACTAATGTGGTTATTGGATATCCCAGATATGGATGACAAGGACTGGACAGACAAGTGGGATGTGCCTTTCAAACAATTAGTCTCACTTAGGGACCGGCTCATACAGTTAAAGATCCTCCATAGGGCCTACTTCATGCCACATAACATTTCCTCAACATGCTGGCATTGAGATTGGGTTGAAGGGGACTTTTGACACATTTTCTGAACGTGCCCAGCTATCCAGTTGTCCTGGGATTCTGTGGTCAGCACCATCAGTAAACTTGTGCAGATCCCCATCACGCAGACAAAAAACACTGTTGGGACTGCTGCTCTTTTATGCCAGAAGGCACTTACTCTTCATTGGAAGAAGCCCACGGCTCCCACAATTGGATACTGGAAACAACTGGTGAACTCTCAATTACCACCTTACAAAACCGCTTATGCAAACAGAGGATGCCCTCGGAAGTTTGACAGAATATGGGCCAGATGGTTGGAGGATGCCAGCACTGATGATCTCTTTATTTTGATGAGACTGGGGATGGGGTAGAGCTTCATTGTTTATTACTAAATTGTATTCTGTGCATAGTGGGACCTGATGCTATATATTTTGACTGGGTTTCCACCGACTGGACGAGAGTCAGCACACACACACACACACCTTTTCAAGTTGGCTATTGTTTTTGTATTTTTATTTTGTTCTGGACAGCTGCACCTGCATGTGCTAAGCTTCTAGGCCTCCTGTTTCTGAAGCTTTGCAGAAATAAATAAAACATTGTCAAAAAAAAAAAACAAAAAAACAAACACACACAACAACACTTACCAACTTCCATGTCTCCTTGCTGAATATGCAGTTTAGCACATCCCAGCACAGCTACCCTTCTCACATAGGAAGCTTTGTCTCTTAGACCATTGTGAACAGGCTGCTGTATGTATTCCTGAATGCCAGGCATTCTAGAGATAAAAATTAAATTGAATATGTTAATACAATTAGCTTACTTTACCTATTAATTGCTGTGTGTATCACAGCTCACATTTGGTCACTAATAATTCCTACAATTATTGTGATTTTCTTTCCTGCCTTAAAGCCATAGTACACTGTAAAAAAAAAAAAATACATAAAAAAATAAAAAAAGTTTTTCTCCTGCAAGGCAATGTCATAATGTGGTAGTAAGCATCGTATACTAGCACATTATTATATGTGAAACTCGCCTTAAAACGAAGCCCTCCAGCGGCATGTTGTCACTGCTGACAGGGCTTCCATCTTCTCTCGGTTCCTCTGGGTTCGTAGGCTCCAGTGGCTTAAATGGCCGAGCCGCCATGACATCACTCCCACGCATACGCATGGGAGTCTCTTCTTATGGCACACATGCCCATGCCATTTCTTCAGAGCTCATGGTCCGGTGCTCTACACAGGTAAATACCTCCTAAACAGTGCACGTTTAGGAGACATTTACAGTGCCTACAGATAAGCCTCATTATAAGCTTCCCTATAGGTACAAGTGTAAAAACAGACTTTACTACCACTTTAACTGGTATCTGGAGCGACCATACTATTTAGCCAGTAGTATCCCTCTAATTTTATCAGCCCAGTACAAGCTTTGTTCAACAGTATTAACCCCTTGGCGCCGGCACCTCCTGGCCTTTTAGGGGTTCATAAGCAAGGAGGCGGGGCGGGTTTAGGGTCATGTGACCGGCGTGATGGTCACATGATCGGGAAAGGTCCCGATCAAAAGAGGAGATCGGGACCTTTCTGTAAGTACCAGACATGAGTGCTTGGAACGCGCAGGGTGCGCGCTCTCAGCACATATGTTCTTTTTTAATAGAACGCAAAATGTGCGGCCGCTCGGCGTCTAGGCCCAGACGCTGGGAGGCCGCACATTTGTGTTCGGGCGGCGTGAACAAGTTAAGCACAGATGAACTTCCAACACATTTGCTTTTTATGATACAAAAGCCTACATACAATTAAAGTAGTTATAAAGGCTGAAGGTTTTTTGCCTTTATGCATTTTATGCATAAAGGTAAAAAAACCATCTGTATGGTGCTCCCCCCACAGCCACACTAATACTCAACTGAGCCTCCTCTCGATGCAGTGATGTGCATGGGAGTCTTGGCTGTCCCAGGACACTCTCTCCTCACTGGCCATTGGCTCCCACTTCTATCAATCACAGCCAGAGAGCCAATAAGGAGAGAGTTGGGGCAGGACCAAGTTGCAGCTCTGTGTCTTATGGGAACGACCATGCACCAGTGCCCACATAGCCAGCGGCTTGCTAATGCAGGCACTGGTTAAGGGAAGGAGCCAGGAGCACCAGTGGAGGGCCCAATAAGAAGAGGATCGGGGCTGCTCTGTGCACAGAGCAGGTAAGTATGACATGCACGTTTTGTGCTTGCACAGCCAGAATCTAACAAATGTCTAGCTACCAATACTGCTAAGTACGGTAATATATAGTAAACACAAGTACCCACATTATAGTTACACATCAAGCAACAAGGTTAATGCTTTTATGAACCCATGCATTCTCTTTTTCCAGTACTGATGACATAATTACCAGAAGTACGCTAAAATGTGATCTCCAAGATTGTAAGCTCAAAAGAGCCAGGGCCCTTGACCCCCTCATGTTTTGTTTTGTTACTGTATGGTCTCATGTTCTGTCCCCCACTATAATGTACAGCGCTGAGCAAACCTTTTAGCGCCATATAAATACTGTATAATAATAATAATGTGCAGATCAGGTATCACTGATCTGAGGTTACAACTGACCTGAGGTTACACATGCTCCGTAGTGCAAGTCCTCTCACCATGGGGTTCGGGTCTGAACAGTCTTTACACAGAGTATTGATAGCAAGGAGGGCAAGGTCAGGTTCCTGAGGAGCATATGTGCACATGTACAAGTAAACTAGCTTCTTCTGTACAATATCTACAGTCGCACTGGCCTTAACCATCTCCATGAACACACTGGATACATCCACTCCCTGGGTCATGTGTCTGCAATGAAAGAAAATTTAACCAGGTCTAAAAAAACCAAAGAACACAAAAGAATTCAATTTGCATATAAATAATATAAGTAAATTTAATAATTAGAAGTAAAAATGTATTGCAAAGAATTAAAGTGGTTGTAAATCTCAGACAGGAAATATGAAAAAAGCATATATCTCACTATAGTGTGTACTCTCAGTACAGGTCACTAAGTGCCATTTCTATCAGCGGTTTGGTTGTCTGCTATCTACATGAGTCACTTCTGACAAGTATCTGAACACCAAGAGGAAAAAGGTGGTGGGGGAGGGATATCTTTAAATTAGTCAGTGCTCTCCAGTCTGCCCTTCAGGCATCCTGCCCCCCTCTCCAGTCTGCCCTTTCACTGGAGCGCCAGGCTGGAGAGGGGCGGGCACAGCTAACTCCAGATTTCAGCATGCATAATGTCAATCGTAAAGTAATGCGTAGGGCAGAGTAAAGAGACCAGGTAGTTAGGAGGGCTCTTGGGACTACCCGAAGGGGACTGTGAAACAGTATGTGAGCCCAGGGAGAGCTCACCTATCAGCAGCTGTTGGCATGAGTAGCTCCCAGACAGATACTTTTGAGATGAGCCTGATTTTAACACATTAGTGAAATATTTTTAAATAAATTCATTTTAATTGCACAGAGAGCAATATGTATGTATGTATGTTTTTTGAGTATATTGTCTGAATAAGGATCGTTGTATGGAATGGATTGGTGGTGTTCAACGTTGGTCATAGCTTTTCCTAGCTATTATAAAAGGGAGTAGGTGCTTTTAGACCTTTTGGTCCATCCACCAAGGTGAAAGTATGCTCACAGGGGTTGGTGGAGGTCACACTGAATACTGCATTTTTGCACAGGAGTGTGGAAGTAAAGATGAATTAGGATTAATGAGTAGATGATTCACAAATACTATATACACTGTGTGCACAATTATTAGGAAAGTGAGTAATTTGACCAAATCATAATTTTTATGCATATTGTCCAACTTCATGCTGTATAAACTTGAATGCATATTGGATTTAAGCATATCAGGTGATGTGTATTTGTGTAATGAGGGAGGGTGTGACCGAAGGAGATCAACACACTATATCAAGGTGTGCATAATTAGGCAGCTTCTTTTCCTCAGGTAAAATGGACCAAAAAAAGAGATTTAACTGACTCTGAAAAGTCAAAAGTCTTTCAGAGGGATGTAGCACTCTTGAAATTGCTAAGATATTGGGGATATCTGATCACAGAACCATCTAACATTTCATTGCAAATACTCTCAGGGTCGCAAGAAACATGTTGAGAATACAAAATCTGCAAATGAACTGCCAAAGATTTGAGAAGAACCAAATGTGCAGCTACCAGGAATCCATTATCCTCCAGTGCTGTCATACTTCAGAACTGTAACCTAACTGGAGTGCCCAGAAGTGTTCAGTGCTCAGAGACATGTGCACACAGTGTATAATCATTAACACATACAATTTGTATTTTTGGTCAGTACACTGTGTGCACAATTATTAGGCAAGTAGTATTTTTGGGGATTATATGTACATGTAATAATTAATTTAATTATTGATCCAAAATGTTAAACCTCAAACCTGAGTATGAGGTACCTGGAGACCTGCAAAAAGGAAACATAGTAAGGGGAGAAAAAAAAAAAAGGGCGTGGATGGAATCATGGACCTGCACTCAAAAAAAAATAACCTATAAATATTTATAAATTGTATTTATAATTTGCCTGTATTATTTACGTCACATTTGCCTGCTGAAGGGACTCCTGGTGGTTCCAAAACATTGCACTTATGCTGTATAACAAATGTCTATAAAGCTGTTTTTTAAGGTGTGCAGGCAATACACCTTTTATTGGACAGTTTAAAGTGGTATATGCTAGGCCATTTTGCAGCAAAATATAAGTCTTGCAGTCATGTAGCACACTGCTTCTGGACTAGGATGCTCTCACTGTCCACCCTAAAGATGCCTGATGTCTAAAGGACTACCCTCAGGCTGAGGGGGGTGGTAGCATCAGAAGAAACCACACCAGGGAACCTGCATCTTCCCAGGGAATAGACCATCAGATGGAAATCCCCACTTTGCCTGCTTTGGAAAAGCATGAGATGGTCTTCAGGGACTGGAACTACTGGGACTAAAATCACCACTGCCCTCTCTGCAGCTAAGTATGCCACAATATACTTTTGTAGCAAGGGTGAGCGCCACACGCACAGTCCTATAGCCAAAAGCAACAATACAGGCTGGCTCCAGGTTTCCATTTTTAGATGTATTTTGTGGCAGTGTCTGGTTACAGATGTGGAAGCTGCAATCATAGTGCATATAGATCAGAAACAATTGAGTACTGTCTGTGATATATTTTTTGTTTACAAATGTTTTTATTTTTTTAAGAAATAGACCGCAAAATGGCATTACAGCGTCAAATAGAATATACAACAGAAACAAGGCACAGCTGTAGTATTCATTTCAAAAGGTACAATCATGTAGCGTAAAGAAAAAAAAAAAAGAGAGAAAAGAAATTAAGTACATGAGCAATATAGGTAGAGAGAAAGGCAGAGTTAAACAGCTACCAACAAAGTACCATATTTTTTGCTCCATAAGACGCACTTTTTTCCCCCCCAAAAAGGGGGGAAAATGTCAGTGCGTCTTATGGAGCGAATATAAAGCGGCCGGTCCGATATTTCTGCCGCCGCCATGTCAGAATACCGGGCCGGCCACTCAGCTGTTCTCTCCTGCAAGGCCTTACCTGTTCCTCGCTCCAGCGCTGCACAGTCTTCCCGCGCTGGCTTCTCTGACAGCCGGGTGCCCACTGCGCATGCGCTGCGCTTTGTGAATGGTCCAGTGTTTTCTGGGACAGAACACAGGTCCCAGAAGGCGCCGGGCCATTCACAAAGTGCAGCGCTTCTCGCGCATGCGCAGTGGGCACCCGGCTGTCACAGAAGCCGGCGCGGGAAGAAGAGGAAAAGACAACGCCGCGGAAGTGGGAGCGGGTTCCTGTCAAATTCAGGTACCCGCTCCCCCCCTCCCTCCCCAAAGGTCAGCAGTCTCTGGTCATCTCCTGCACTGTGCCCGCAGTCTCTGGTCACCTCCTGCACTGTGCCCGCAGTCTCTGGTCACCTCCTGCACTGTGCCCGCAGTCTCTGGTCACCTCCTGCACTGTGCCCGCAGTCTCTGGTCACCTCCTGTACTGGGTCCGCAGTCTCTGGTCACCTCCTGTACTGGGTCCGCAGTCTCTGGTCACCTCCTGCACTGTGCCCGCAGTCTCTGGTCACCTCCTGCACTGTGCCCGCAGTCTCTGGTCACCTCCTGCACTGTGCCCGCAGTCTCTGGTCACCTCCTGCACTGTGCCCGCAGTCTCTGGTCACCTCCTGCACTGTGCCCGCAGTCTCTGGTCACCTCACTGCACTGTGTCCGCAGTCTCTGGTCACCTCCTGCACTGTGTCCGCAGTCTCTGGTCATCTCCTGCACTGTGTCCGCAGTCTCTGGTCATCTCCTGGTGTCCGCAGTCTCCATCTCCTGCACTGTGTCCGTACTGTGTCCGCAGTCTCTGGTCATCTCCTGCACTGTGTCCGCAGTCTCTGGTCATCTCCTGCACTGTGTCCGCAGTCTCTGGTCATCTCCTGCACTGTGTCCGCAGTCTCTGGTCATCTCCTGCACTGTGTCCGCAGTCTCTGGTCATCTCCTGCACTGTGTCCGCAGTCTCTGGTCATTCCCCGCAGTGTATTCCCTGTACTATGTCTGCAGTCCATTGGTTCAGAATATTTTTTTTTCTTGTTTTTTGCCTCTAAAACCTAGGTGCGTCTTATGGTCAAGTGAGTCTTATGGAGCAAAAAATACGGTAACTCAATCAATCAAAAACCATGAGTGGTCCTTAGTCATATAGTAAATGTCTGAGTTCTCCAAATTTCCCTGTGATATTTTTTTTTTATACAGATCCTTATCCTCACCAAACCATAAATACACTGCTGAGGATGCTACACAGCTCATTGAATTCATACTTACATACAACTACTTCGCTTTAAATAATGACATCTACCTTCAATGTATGGGTACTGCGATGGGAAGTAAATGGCACCTCAATATGCCAATTTATTTATGGCTGACCTGGAGGAAAAAATTCCTGAACAGCATGGAACATAAACCATACAGATACAATCGCTATATTGATGATATTTTCATCATATGGACAGAAGGTGAAGCAAAACTAAAACCATTTTACTCATTGATCAACACTTTTCATCCATGAATCAAACTAGCAATGGAATATTCAAACACACACGTCAACCTCCTAGACACCACAGTAAACATCAGGGAAGACAAGCTTCACACCTCAATATACAGGAAACCCACTGACAGATGCAACTACCTCCACAGTTCTTCCACCCCCAACACACAAAACGGACCATCATACACAGACAGGCTATCAGATAGCACCGAATATGTTCTGACCCGAAAGACAGAGATACACATCTCGGGACACTAGCAGTCTCCTCCCATAAGAAAGGTTACAAGGACAAAACTATCAACACCAGCATAAACACAGCCTTGAAAATCTGAAGAGAAAATCTACTCCAATACAAAGAGAAAAAAAACAAACAAACAACCGTGTACCTCTAGTAACTACATACAACCCAGCACTATAAGGAATAAGAAAAATAAAGATTTACAACTCATCATGACAGAGGATGGAACTCTGAAAGAAATAATTTCTGCAACCCTCAATACTGGCTTTTAGACAACCCCCCAACCTCAGAAAAACTAATCAGTAGGAAACTTCCTTCAATTATTACAGTATGTCACAAATAGAAGCAAACCCTGCAATAAAAAACACTACAAACTGTGCAACCAAATATATCAAAAAGTGTCAGATACTCGAAAGGGATCGTCAATATCTGCGGATCATACAGCTGCACCTCTGGTAATGTTGTGTACCTTATCCAGTTCAGAAAATGTAGCAAAGGATCTTACACTGGCGAAACAGGACAGAAGTTGCAAACAAGGATGAATTTGCACAGACATACCATGAAGGAACATAAAGAAGATGACGTCTGCACACCTGTGGGACACCATTTCGCACAACCAGGCCACACTATGAAAAACCTCAATATTTTAGATCTTAAAGAAAATTTCAAAACTATCCAGGAAAGGAAAAAACTTTTAAACTAAGAAAATATTTCTATTTGATACAAAAGATAATGGCCTTAATTTGGACATGGGATTCCTCACTCATTATCCAAATGTTTTACGACCCCCTCTGTAAGTGTTGTCTCAAAACACCCCCCCAGTCTTTGCCTTTGCTCTGTCTTATCTCTAGTCTAATCCTAGTTGTATAACCATTGCTATGTACATTTGTTTGTGTGCGTTTGTTTTTTTTTTTCTCCCCCTCAGAAATCGTTTCTTTTAACATTCTGCTAAAACGTTGTAAAGTAGTACTGCTTGGACCTTAAAGAAGGGGACATACCCCGGAAGCTTGTCCTGAAAACTGTATGTTACTGCAAAAAAAAAAAAAAAAAAAAAAAAAAAAAAAAAAAAAAAAAAAGCATCACGGACAGTACTCAATTGTTTCTGTCGCAAATGCACTAATACGGCTACAATCACCTCATGCATATAGATCAGAAACCTGCTCACAGTAGAAAGAGGTTGTCTATCAACTAAGGACACTAGCATAAAACGGAGGATTGTTTGGAGTTGGAGGGCTGATATGGACTGGCCTAACAACTTTGTTTGCAGTGTCCTCACTTGAAAATGGCAGCAAAAAATCCATGGTCAAGACTATTTTGGCTACACTTTTCCTGGGGATCATGGAAGTGCAGTTCGTTCTGCACTCATGTGATTCATATTCAGCCGACAGTGGCCTAAAGTACACTGTTGATTGACGTCACTCAGCTTGTCCAGGCTCAGGGAAGACCCCTAGGCTGCATTCACACTTGAGAGATTTGTAGCTTCAAGCTCCAAAAACGCTCAAAACATAAAAAAAATCTATTTTTCTCTATAGTGTCTGTTCACATGATCAGGTGTGAACAGGCACCATAGAGAACAACTGATTTTTTTTTTTTTTTTTTTTTTTTTAAGTCTGAGCGTTTTTTGGAGCTGAAAGCTACAAATCGCTCAAGTGTGAATGCAGAGCAAAAGGTGGTAACCACCCAGAGGCATGGACCAGCATCTGGCTCAGCATCTCAGGAACTGCTGAGAGCCACCGGCTATCTGCTCACTGAAGATAAGAGAACCGAGCAATCAGTGGTCCTGTACTGTATGATTAAGAAAAACTAGTTACCTGAAATTCAATCATAAAAAAGTGAAATATTCTGCATAAAAAAGACATTTCTGTATTTCACAAGTACTTATTAGCAGTTTGGAAATTGTGGGAAGCAGAAATGGGTTTACTTTCATTTTTTTAACTTTTACTTCTGGAAAGTTAGAAATATAGCAATGTTAAAGAAAATTGCTGTGCGACAGTAATAAATAGTTAGCATTTTCTTACCGAATCACCTTGTGGATGACATTCCTATACCGCAGCCTGTCTGTCTGGATGTGAGGATTAGACAGTGCCCTTTTAAGGTCTTTCACTGCATCTTCTGACCCCAGGTATGGCATTGTGAAGACTTCAGAGATTCACCGCCTGGAGTTGTACTTCTGCCAAATGTAAAGTACAGTCAAGCATGTTTCAAAAGAATAAACTGAAATACAAATGAATGAAAAACCCAGATATTGGTTGTTAAAAGCTGAAGTTTAGGTATGGAAATGTTTAAATAGTTACACAAGTCCAGCTTGTATGTGCCATACTAGGTTCCCCCTAAAAGCCTGACATCACTGTAATAGGTACCACTACTACAGTGATCGCCACTAGCTTCTGGGTCCTGTGCTGAGCGACTGCCCTACCATATTATGAACACAGGAGGTCGATTGCTTGGCAAAGGCACCAATCAAAGAACACTTTACATTTGCTCAATGAATGCAATGTGTTATCTCATTGGATGAAGCAGAGATGCAGGGAGGTAATGTCACAATCTCTACCTAGTCCAAACAACAAACATTTTGCATTCATTAAGAAAATGCAGATTTCTCCGAAAGGTGCATGTGCCGAGTGAGTGGCCTCCTGTGTTCAGTATGCAGCAGGACAGCTGCTCAGCACAGGACCCTGAAGCTAGTGGCATTCACTTTAGTATTGTGACTACTACAGTGATTTCCTGCTTCCAGGAAGATCACGCAGGTATATCATATACATACTTACATTGGTCCACATAGGATCAATTAACTATGTAAACATTCCCATATCCAAACATCAGCTTTAAAGTCTTAAGTTTGTCTAAAACAAAAAAATAAAAAAAACTGTCATAAAGGGACATTACTTACTTTCAGAGAGATGTATTCCATCTGCTGTTGTGTCCCATTTCTTCCTCTTCTGATACACCCCCGCCCCTATGATCTTCAGATGTGGTGAGGGATAACAGAACTGGGGGGCTGTAACCGACACTCAGTAAGAGAGCCTGGCTACACCCACCCTTTCCTCCTACCTCCTCCATTCATAAAAGCTGCACTATAGTTTCTATGAATAAATCAGGGTCTCTAAATGGAGGCAGTGATCTTTAATTTATCCACTTATCCTCCATTCATAAACTCTGTATCATTCAAAGAAGCTGTAGAAATGAAAGTAACTTGAAGATTTCTGTGATGGAGATGGAGGGCATCATAAGAGGAAGATTTCAGCAAAAAGGAGGAGGACAGAGCAGCAGAATGATAAGTAATATCCCTTATGCTGATTTTTTTTTTTTTTTTTTTTTTAGGTAAACTTAGGCTTTAAACCTTCATCCATTTATTCCACTATAAATCCTGATGAAAATGCAAACGCAGAGCTACTATCATTAATCAATGACAACATCCACCCACTCTTCAAAATAAAAGGCTCTTTTGAAAACCGTAAAATGAAAATATCATTACTGAGGTACAGTTTTGAAGTTGTCCCCTTGATTCCAGCTATACATCCTTGCGAGTAACTTTACCTGTAGTGATGAGCTCAGGTGAGTTTGGATCTTAATCTGAGCCCACTAGAAGCTGTCATGGGCAAATCATCTGCAGCTGTAGGGCACGTCTATGCTGCTTATGATTGGCCCAATATGGGTGACAGCTTTCTGGTGGGTTCACTCAGGTTGGTTTGGACTATGATCAGATTATGCCTAAACTAATCTCTACTTATCAAGTAAAAGTATGCAAGAGCAGAGCTCAAAGGTCAGTGGCTAAAATTGTGTTCTAGGTCAATGATCACCAGTTTTTGTTGAAAACCAGGACAAGTTGAAGTTTAAAGTCACTGCAATGCCTCCCTAATTGTTGCCAGATACTGCCCTGAGCTGCGGTCTTCCAGTGGTTTGAGAATTACTGGCAGACACTGCTACTGAGAAAAGTTGTGCTGCTCACCCATCCACTTCTGCTCTCTCTTCCAATCATATTGCTCCAATTACTACTGTCACACAATACACCACATTCTATCAATGGAGGAGGTACAGATGAGTGACAGGATATCCACCACCCAGTGTAGTGTAGAAGGGGGCAGGTGAACAGTGTAACTTTCATCAGTAGCAATGGCTGTTAACGCTCACAGTGCTGAAAGTTCACTTCTCAGGACAGCATCTGGCACCTCTGGAAGGCATGCTGTCTCTCAGATTCATCAAACATGGACATGATTCATCTATCCATCCTGTCCCTGCCTTTGCTCACCTTTGAGCACATGCATGGGCTTTGAATTCAAGATTGTGGACATGACAGAAGCGTGATGCATTATCCACCCTTTGTTATAATACCACGGTTAGTGGTATTATAACAAAGTAGAAGCAACTGGGAACAACAACAACTCAGCCACGAAGTGGTAGGCCACGTAAAATGACAGAGCTGGGTCAGCGCATGCTGAAGCGCACAGAAGTCACCAAGGGGTTTATTTACTAAAGCTGGAGAGTCCAAAATCAGACTCCCTTCTGCATAGAAACCAATCAGCTTCCAGGTTTCATTGCCAAAGCTTCATTGAACAAGCTGAGGTTAGAAGCTGATTTATTTACTAAAGCTCTCCAGCTTTAGTAAATAAACCCCCAACTGTCTGCAGAGTCAATAGCTAAAGACCTCCAAACTTTGTGTGGCCTTCAGATTAGCACAACAGTGTGTAGAGAGCTTCATGGAATGGGTTTCCATGGTCGAGCAGCTGCATCCAAGCCTTACATCACCAAGTGCAATGCAAGGCGTTGGATGCAGTGGTGTAAAGCACGCACGCAACCACTGGACTCTAGAGCAGTGGAGATGTGTTCTCTGAAGTGACCAATCACACTGTCTGGCAATCAGTTGGACATGTCTGGGTTTGGTGGTTGCTAGAAAAACGGTATTTGACTGACTGCATTGTGCCAAGTGTAAAGTTTGGTGGAGGGGAGATTATGGTGTGGGGTTGTTTTTCAGGGGTTGGGCTTGGCCCTTTAGTTCCAGTGAAGGGAACTCTTAAGGTGTCAGCACATCAAGACATTTTGGACAAATTCATGCTCCCAACTTTGTGGGAACAGTTTGGGGATGGCCCCTTCCTGTTATTATTATACAGGATTTATAAAGCGCCAATAGTTCCAACATGTCTGCGCACCAGTGCAAAAAGCAAGGTCCATAAAGACATGGATGAGCGAGTTTGGTGTGTAGGAACTTGACTGGCCTGCATGGAATCCTGACCTCAACCTGATAGAACACCTTTGGGATGAATTAGAGCGGAGACTGCGAGCCAGGCCTTCTCGTCCGACATCAGTGCCTGACCTCACAAATGTGCTTTCAGAAGAATGGTCAAACACTCCCATAGACACTCCTAAACCTTGTGGACAGCCTTCCCAGAAGAATTGAAGCTGTTATAGCTGCAAAGGGTGGGCCAACTCAATATTGAACCCTACAGACTAAGACTGGGATGTCATTAAAGTTCATGTGTGTGTAAAGCAGACATCCTAATACTTTTGGCAATATAGTGTATCTACAATCACATAAGGAGCTAATCCAGCCAGGCTGGGAGGGAAGTGTGCTGTCAGCACAGAAAACTCTGCTGCCCATGGATGTATATACTGATCAGCCATAGCATTATGTCCACCCGCTATAACCTGTTGAGGCATGGACACCACTAGACCCCTGATGCTACGCCTATGTCAGGCACAAAGCTGTCAGTAGCAGATATTTTAAATTCTGTAAGCTAGGAGGTAGGGCCTCCAAGGATCAGACACCTTTTACCAACACATCCCACAGATGCTCAATAGGATTGGGATCTGGAGAATTTGGAGGCCAAGTCAACACCTCAAACTCACTGTGTTCTCGAAAACCATTCTTGAATAAATCTGATAAGGCCACCTTCTTGCATTGCTCTGCGGTCCAGTTCTGATACTGACGTGCCCATTGTAGGTGCTTTTGGCTGTGAACACGAGTCAGCATGGGCACCCTTACCAGTCTGCGACTACGCAGCCCCATATACAACAAACTGCAGTGTACTGTGCATTCTGACACCTTCCTATTAAAATCAGCATGAACGTTTTCAGCAATCTCAGCTACAGTAGCTCTTCTATTGGATCAGACTACACGGGTCAGCCTTCACTCCCCACATGCATCAATGAGCCTTGACTGCCCATGACCCTATCACGGACTTGCTGGTTTATCTTTTCTTGAACCACATTTGGTAGGTCCTGACCATTGCAGACCGGGAATATCCCATAAGAGCTGCAGTTTTGGGGTTGCCCTGACCCAGTCATCTAGCCATTACGCATTGGCTCTTGTCAAAGTCGCTCAAATCCTCTCACTTATTTTTTTCTGCTTTCAACAGATCAACTTCAGGGACAACATGGTCACTTGCCACCAAATATATCTCACCCACTTTCAGATGCCACTGTAAAGAGATAATCCATGTTATTCCCCTTACCTTTCAGTGTATGGATGATCAGTATATGTGTTAGGGCAGCACAGTGGCTAAATGGATAGCACTTCCACCAGGCAGTACTAGGGTTGCTAGTTCAAATCCCAACCCTGGCACCACCAGCCTGGAGTTTGCATGTTCTCCCTGTGACTGCATGGGTTTCCTCCCACACTCCAAAGACATGCTGGTAGGTTATTGGCTCCTGTCTAAATTGGCCCTAGTATGTATATGTATGAATATGAGTTAGGGACTTTAGATTGTATGCTCCTTGAGGGTTAGGGACTGATGTGAATGTACAATATATATGTAAAGCACTGTGTAAATTGACAGTGCTATGTAAGTACCTGAAATAAATAAATATGTGGCAAGAGAGTAGAATTCCATTTAACGTGATCAGGCTTATATGAGATTTAGACCCTGTGTTTACATGAGGGATCAGATTCCTAGATTAGAGATTGGTCTGTGTTCCACCACCAAACCCAACACACATTAGTAAATGCAACATACTAGGTATGCACAGAAAACCACTTAACCTGCCCATGCAATGTACCCTACCTGAGCTCCTCACCCCTCCTTCCCATTACACATCGCCAACACTCGTTCTGTTCACGAAACAGTTAAAGCCTACTGGCGGGAGAAGCTGGACATAAACTCCGCCCTATCCCTACGTGCCCCCGCCCGCAGTTTTTTTTTTTTTACCAGCCCCTCCAACCAAATACGAGTTCGGTGTTTACCTTCAAATGGGCTAAAGCTCGGAGAAGTGGAGCGGATCGCCGAGCTACCGGCACACGGAGCACTTCCGGGATGGTAAGACAGGAATAGGCGAGCTCCGCACACACTGATCATGAGTGGCGCCCATAGGCTCCTCTAGTACATACTGGGGCACAAAGTGTGGTGTTGACGGAAGTGTCATGTGTCTTGATGTAGGAAGTAATAAAAACCGTTATTGTGTGAGGAATGGAAGGACTTTCCTCATTCTTCAGAACATTTTAGTGATGTCCACATGTTATGAGTAGTGCTAATTCTCTAACAGAGCCAGGAGACTAATTCCAGCTAAGCAGAGACGCGCCGCGCTGCCAGCAGATCCGGGAGACGCGCCGCGCTGGTCCCAGAGCAGACTCGCCGGCTGGTCCCAGCAGAGCCGGGAGACGCGCCGCGCTGGTCCCAGCAGAGCCGGGAGACGCGCCGCGCTGGTCCCAGCAGAGCCGGGAGACGCGCCGCGCTGGTCCCAGCAGAGCCGGGAGACGCGCCGCGCTGGTCCCAGCAGAGCCGGGAGACGCGCCGCGCTGGTTCCAGCAGATCCGGGAGACGCGCCGCGCTGGTCCCAGCAGAGCCGGGAGACGCGCCGCGCTGGTCCCAGCAGAGCCGGGAGACGCGCCGCGCTGGTCCCAGCAGAGCCGGGAGACGCGCCGTGCTGGTCCCAGCAGAGCCGGGAGACGCGCCGTGCTGGTCCCAGCAGAGCCGGGAGACGCGCCGTGCTGGTTCTAACAGCATGTGCTATACAAGACACTTTTTTTGTAACCACTTGCCTTCCAGAGAATTTACCCCCAGGTCTCTCCCGTCACTGTTGCTCAGCGAATCGCCGGGTGCTGGTGGAGAATCTCCAGCCGGAACCTGGTGATCGACATCTGAAGCCGCCAATGTCGCCCCTATCCGAAAATGCACAATCACGTGTGTATATATACGTGATTTTGCGCAGCCCTGCCTCCCTGTAGCAATGGTTCTGCTATAGGGCGGTAGGTGACGCGGTTAAGGAAATTCACCCTCTCCTGTCCTGTTTATCAATATCAGTGAAAGTAAAAGAAAATCCCAAATTTTGTGTTGTCCCCAGAAAAGTAATAGAAAGGAAATCTTCCAATGGGGACACTAGTTCTGGTGACCTAGGGGTCCCCAAGGAATTCCCTTAATTTGTAGGGATTTCCTCCCACTTCCTTTTGGGCTATGGGAAAGGAAGTGAAGGGAAATCTCCCTGATTTGGACAAAAAAAAAAACCCTTAGAAGGGTTATAGCCCTCCCTTACTCTATCCAAAATGGGGAAAAAAAGTTTTGCCTATAATGCTACTTAAAGGATAAGTTCACCTTTTGGACAGAAATAATAAATGCACATTTTTTTGCAGGTAAAAAAATGTGCATTTTTTTATTTTTTGTCCAAAGGAGCCTGGAAAGCATTGCACCAGAGGTCAGTAGATCACGGATGCCATGCAGGTCTCCTGCTCCTGCAGACCTGTCAGAATATCTGCTTGCCGTATGGATTGTCACGGTCACGGCATTCCACAGCACTGTGGTAGTTCATTAAAAATTACAAGCCAACAGCCGCTAAGGCTGTCGGGACTTGCAGTTCATTCATTGATGGAAGTCCGTGAATGAATGACGTGGCCATGTGGGCAGAGCCCCACACGGCTGCTCTATTTTCAAATTTGACAGATAGAGAAGGGGCGGCAGGCACGGCTGCAGCTATTGAAACATGTTACATGTTCCAAAGGTGAACGTATCCTTTAATTTAGAAGGTCCCACTCGTGTGAATTAACAGATGGATAGCTCATTCCAAGCTCTTTTCCCCTTGGGCCTCTTGCAGACAGATGCAATAATTTACTTGTGTTTAAATGTAGGATCTTGCTGGCTGAGAAACCCTACAGTTGCAAGAAAAAGTATGTGAACCCCTTGGGATTACGTGGAGTTTTGCATGAATTGGGCATAAAATGTGCTCTGAACGTCATCTAAGTCACAACAATAGAAGAACACAGTCTGCTGAACATAATACTACACAAACATTAGATGTTGCCATGGTTTAATTGCACATAACATGTAAATAAAGAAAAACACAAGTTATGTTTTGTAAAGACCTTGCTTATGCATGCATATATGCATGTGCAACAAAAAATATATAATTTTTTTTTTTTTTTCAACACTAATTTTTACATTACTACAAGCACAGCCCAACTCCCCTGCCCTCCCCAAATGGATGTAAATATAGAAAACATAGAACATATATATATTTTTTATATATATATATATATATAATTATTATGTAGAGTCTTGTTTTTTGTAATACAGTCCATTTTCCCCTTTATTCTCTAAGTCCCTACAATGTTATCTGAAAGTTTTTTTGTTTTTTTTTTTCCAGATATTTGTTGGCCTTCTGGATACAGGATGAATGGGGCTATACTTCCAAACACCCCTATAGCTGTGGATTTTTGGCAGATAAGGCGATGCAGCCATGTTCGACTCTTTTTCCTTTCTCATATGCACAGTGACCATACAGTAGGCTTATCTTCAACATGGAATCACCCATTGTACTGTTCACCCATCACAGCCAGAATACTGAAGCATAAGCTACAGGTACAGTATACCATATTCTCAAAGCATAATAAAGAGTAGGCATGCTATGTCTCTTTCGCAAAAACATAAATTTACCTGCCTGTTCACAATCCTATGCAGAATGTACACTGAGCTGCTATAATGAATGAAGACTGGCACCCAGACGAAGAAATCAGGCTTAGATACCAAAATACTACAGTAAATATTGTAAATGCCATTCTGTAGCAAGCACATTTTTGCAGTACTCTAAAGTTATTTAACCACCTCCCATCTGGCCGTTGTATATAAACGGCCGGGACGGTGGCACTGCAGGGTCGGGTGGCCGTTTATAAATGGCCTCCCTGCACCCTGCTTGTGCGCGCTCCCTGGGAGTGCGCAGCACCGCAATCTGGTGCCCGCTGTGTCCTCCGGACACAGTGAAACACCGATCGTCGGACGGGACAGCTGTACGAGGTCCTGATCATGTGATCACTGATTGGCCAATCAGTGATCACATGCAAAGTAGTAAACAAGATGTCACTTGTGACATCATTGCTTACTACATGTGAAATCTGTGAATGATCAATTCACAACAGCCTTGTACCATGTGACAAGCTGTGACCAATCACAGCTCACTCAGTAGTTCTCAATGGCTACAAGAATGCAGACAGAGAGAAAGAGAAATGATTGCTTTTACATCCTATATGGGTGTAAAAGCAATCAGTGTAAAAAAAAAAAAAAAATCTTCATCTCCCCCCACAAGTAGTACAGTGTCACCATGGTGACACTGTACTGCTAGGGTGACAGTATGTAAAAAAAATAAATAAGAATATAAAAATTTTAAAAATTTTTTTAAAAATTATAATTTTTGGTTATAAACTAATTTGGCTTATTTTTTTTTTACTAAAAAGATAACGGAATACATTTTGGCCAAGATTTATGATGAAATATTATTTATTTGCAAAATGTTATAAGAAAAACACTTTTTTTCAAAATTTTGGGACTTTTTCATTTACATAGCAAAAAAAATAAAAATCCCAGTGGTGAATAAATACCACCAAAATAAAGCTTTATCTGTGTCAAAAAATGGTAAAACATTCATATGGGTACAGTGTTGCATGACCGCGCCATTGTCATTCAAAGTGTCATATCCCTGAAAGCTGAAAATTGCCCTGGACAGGAAGGGGGTAAAAGTGTCCAGGCAGGAAGTGGTTAAAAAAAAAAAAAAAAAGTTAGGGCTGCAGCCAACAAGATGGAAATGTATTGCAAAATGTTAGTGCTTTTGTTAGTATACTTTTGTTTTATTGTCTTTAATAAGTAAAGTGAAACCAAAACAAATCAGTCATTTTACTATATTGGTAACAAAAGATTGCTGTGAGTAATTTTTACCAGATTAGGAATAAGAAACAATCATCCGATTGGGGAGGATATTTTATCTAATAATCTACTGAACATTTCTCTCCCAGGTTAACAGTAAGTGGATCAATACATTAGAAGTTGGTGTGTGCCATATGCTGCCATTGGATGACTGCGGAATTGAAACAGTGGCTGTCACTTTAATAGATGCCAACCATTGCCCTGGTTCTGTTATGTTCCTGTTTGAAGGCTACTTTGGTGCTATCTTATATACAGGTAAAACTTATGTAACATGATCTCTTCTACAGCTTTCTAGACAGGATAAGCAGGTATATTAAAATTAGGACACACAAACAGAAGTCTCCCTGCTATATTAAATATTATAATTAACAGAGGACTATTCTTGGTTCCTTTCAGGTCAACCTCCCAAAAAGCTGAGTTGCTTTACAATCTCCTCTGCTTCTACATCGAGCTGTTGCCAGTGCTATCAAACATGAAACCGCTAATTAAACTAGATACAGATCTTTATATTTAAGTTATAAAACTAATAGTTGTAATTGCAATGTTACTTACAGCTCTAAAATAATAATTTGGGTGACTCCTTCACAACAGATGACATAATATCACCATATATTTTTTCCTGTGTTGTGATTTTGCTTTTTATACTGTATGAGGCCTTTTTTTTTAATTATTATTTATTTTTATTTTGTACAGTCACCTCCACCTACAACTTTTGAGACAAGCGGCAATATAAATAAATAACACAAATACTGAACCAAATCCAACACTGCATATTTAATACATTGCACATTTTAATCTGTCCTATATTTACCATTGCAAGATTTAATCTCTTCAATACAGGGCACTTTTACCCCTTTCCCTGACCAGGCCATTTTTCAGGTTTCAGTGCTCTCACACTTTGAATGACAATTGCACGGTCATACAACATTGTACCCAAACTAAAATTTTATCATTTTTCTTCACACAACTAGAGCTTTCTTTTGGTGGTATTTAATCACCACTGGGGTTTTTATTTTTTACTAAATTAACAAAAAAAGACCGAAAATGTTAAAAAAAAAAAAACACGTTTTTTTTTGTTTCTGTTATAAAAGTTTACAAATAAATAATTGTTCTTCATAAATTTAGGCCAAGATGTATTCTGCTACATGTCTTTGGAGAAAATAACCCAAATTAGGATGTATTATTTAGTTTGTAGGAAAGTTATAGAGTTCACATACTATGGGATATATCTGAATATTGATCAATCCTGAAGTACTGGCAGCCAATCTAAATTCTTGAGGTCCCAGAATGTCAGAACAGAACAGATATCCTCAAAATGACCACTTTTTGCAAAGTAGACAGTCCGACGTACTTCATAAGAGGCATGGCGAGTTTTTTGAAGTTGTTTTTTTTTGTCATAATTTTTCAGAAAATGAAAAAATTATAAAAATTTGTTTCACTATTTTTTTTTTTTTTTTTTTACATATGGTAACCAGTGCAGTACAGCGTCATCATATAACTGGCATGGCGGTGATCAGGGACACTGGTGACAGTATGAAAAAAAAATATATATAATTTTTTTTATTTTTAATGTTTTATTTCTTTTTTTTATTTTTTTTAAGATTTGTTTTTCATATTTCACTATGATCAAAGTAGTATAATGTTACCATAGTAACATTGTACTACTTTGGGGAAGTGATCAGTATTTATTTATTTTTTTTACACAATTTGCTTATAGCAAAGAATTACTTTGCTATAAACAAGCATTTACCTGAATGACATTGATTCATTCGGGGTTTTTTTTTTTTTTTGTGCTTAGCTGTGATTTGGCCACGGCTAATCACATGACACAGCTGGGCTGTGATCGGCCCAGCTTGTGCATGTGATTGCTGTGACCATTCACAGCTAGACACACTAGTTACAATGGATGGCATGAATGAAGCCATCCATTGTATATAACTGTCATGTGACCTGCTGTGATTGGTCACAGCAGGTCACATGGTACCGGCAACGGGGCCTGTACTCAGATCTGTCATCGGCCGTGTCCGAGGTACACGGCCGGTGACAGATCGCACCGCTCCATGGCTCTGCAGGTGCACAAACTGCGCATGCCCAAAAGGACGCCATATGGCGTCCACCCGGAAAGGTGAGGGTTTTTGCTGGCCGCCATTCAGCCATAGGCCGGGAGGGAAATGGTTAAAGGAAAAGTTCACCTTTTTAAAAAAAAATAAAATAAATAATAATAATAAAAGCACATTTCATTTTATAGGTAAAAACATGTGCATTTACTTTTTTTTTTTTTCTTCTCTCTTTAGGAGCCTGGAAAGCATTGCACTCACGATCAGCAGATCATGGGTCAGGCTCCTGCAGACTGTCAGTGTAGGTGTCTGCCTGTACCTCTGATACAGGCAGGTAGTTACTTCAGTCCAGGAAGAATCAATGAACTACAACGATGCTCACCAGTGCCCTCATAGTTCATTGAGAACTACAAGCTGTCAGTCGCAAAGACTGACAGTACTTGTACTATATTCATTCACAGAACTCTGTGAATGACGTGGCCATGTAGGTGAAGCCCCACATGGCCTGTGCTCTTTTCAAATTGTGACCATGGATGTGAAGAGAGGATCCCAGCCCGCTGCCATAGGGAGGGGAGGAGGGGGAGAGGCTGCAGGAACTGGGACATGTCATATGTTCCACCCTAAAAATGGGTGGAACATGTAACATGTTCCAGGAGATGAACTTATACTTTAACTGTAGTAATGTAGATTCTCCTATTATTGTCTGGGATTTGTAAAGGCTGTGACAGGTCAGCTGAAATGAGAATTCTGACTGTTTTGGCATGGCTTATCTGCTACCAAATTTTCAGAGAATTAAAATAAGCTCAGGAAGCACTTCATAGAATTTGTAAGGTCAGTGTGTAGAACAAACTCTTGGCTGCTACGTAATGAGTAGGACATGTCCTCGACAGTGAAAGGGTTAAAAAAGAAATTTGTAAAACCTTTACCTGATTGAGCTATAATATATTTGTGAAGTACTACATAATGTCTGTGTCCTCATTCCATTGTTTCCTCAGTCTCATACCACTGCACAATCATCAGCAGTGGTCCCATTCTGAAGGACATACATATATATTCATGAATGTGAATATATCTTCATATTTCATAATAGTATTCATGGAGAAAAGGGAAAATTAGGACAACACAATTCATGCCTCCACATGCCAATAATTGGTCACAGCACAGGAGTTGATGGGGCTGAGTGACGTTTTTACATTTCTGTGCTGCCTGTCCTAGTTCTGAAAGGAATGATTGATCTTCTACAGCGAAGTCCTGGAAATAAGAATGACCAACAAGTGTGTAATCTAACATTATACTTTAATTAAATAATATTTTAAGAAATGCTATTCACCTGAAGTTTCACCATGTATGATGTTCTTAATCTAGATTTTGTAATATTTTGCACAGGTGATTTCCGCTACAGCCCACTGATGCTAAAATATCCTCCTCTAAAGAACAAGAAAATTGATGTTTTGTACTTGGATAATACAAACTGTGATCCTGAGATAAAGCTGCCTTCTCGAAAGGAAGCCACAAAAGAAATAGAAGATATCATTGAGAACCACCCAGAGCATGACATAGTAATTGGTAAGTAGGTGTATTGTCACATTAAAAATAGGCTAAATTTTGATCTATAATTTTAGATCCTTGTACACATTGGCCACTTCCACTTTTTTGTGGAAATCAAAAATTGAATACCTGATGACTGGTTAGGAGTTTTATATGTATTTCATATCCAAACTTTTATATTTTTAGATGCAGCAGTAATGAGTTAAAACCCTTAGCTAAAATTGAGGGGAAAATCAAACTTTTTGAGTCCTCACCAGAACAGGAGAAGACGAGAAATCCTTCCTTTTGGGACAGTTGTTCCTCTGACACCTATCTGAGGAATTTCTCTCACTTTCCAGTGTGTCAACATGACAGAAAGTGAAGGGAAATCTCCCCAAGAGCACAGCAGGCAAAAAACCCCCCAAAAAAAAAATGAGGGGCTTTTAACCCCTTGGCACTTTGCCTCTCAGCCCTCTAAGGGGTTTGTGGAGGTGGGGTTTAGAGTCATGTGGCCGCCGTGATTGACTGTTACGGCGGTCACATGATCAGAAAGCTCCCAGGACCATTCCGTGAGGTGCCGGTAAATGTGCCCGGAGCATGCAGGGCGTGTGCTCTCGCTCTACATTCTTTGTTTACATTGGGTAAGACCCAGCCAGAGGATGCATATTTGAATGCGCTTGACGCCAACAGGTTCACCATCCTTTACTCCAGTGGTCTCAATTACAGCAGCCCTGGGGCCAGATTTTTTTTTTGTTTTTTATCCTTCCCTTTTAACAATAGTGGGGCATTGCTCCTGCCACTGACACCGACAATGGGTTATAATTCCTCGCTCTGAAACCAACGTTGGGGCACTATTCCTCATGTTGACGCCAACGATGGGGCACTATTCCTCATGTTGACGCCAACGATGGGGCACTATTCCTCATGTTGACGCCAACGATGGGGCACTATTCCTCATGTTGACGCCAACGATGGGGCACTATTCCTCATGTTGACGCCAACGATGGGGCACTATTCCTCATGTTGACGCCAACGATGGGGCACTATTCCTCATGTTGACGCCAACGATGGGGCACTATTCCTCATGTTGACGCCAACGATGGGGCACTATTCCTCATGTTGACGCCAACGATGGGGCACTATTCCTCATGTTGACGCCATTCCTCATGTTGACGCCAACGATGGGGCACTATTCCTCATGTTGACGCCAACGATGGGGCACTATTCCTCATGTTGACGCCAACGATGGGGCACTATTCCTCATGTTGACGCCAACGATGGGGCACTATTCCTCATGTTGACGCCAACGATGGGGCACTATTCCTCATGTTGACGCCAACGATGGGGCACTATTCCTCATGTTGACGCCAACGATGGGGCACTATTCCTCATGTTGACGCCAACGATGGGGCACTTTTCCTCATGTTGACGTCAACGATGGGGCACAACGACGTCAACGATGGGGCACTCTTCCTCATGTTGACGTCAACGATGGGGCACTCTTCCTCATGTTGACGTCAACGATGGGGCACTCTTCCTCATGTTGACACCTACGATGGGGCACTATTCCTCCCACTGATGTTAACATGAAAATTTCACCACATGTTGGTAACAACCCATTCAATCCATACATACAAAGAAACCCAAACAAAAGAGGTTCAGAAATTAAGTTATGTGTAATAAAATGGAATGACACAGAGAAAAAGTATTGAACGCGCTAACTGAAATTTATTTAATACTTAGTACAATATCCTTTGCTGGTAATGACAAATTTAAGATACCTCCTGTATGGAGAAACTAGTCGCATGCATTGCTCAGGTGTGATTTTGGCCATTCTTCCACACAAACAGTCTTCAAATCTTGAAGGTTCCGTGGCCCTCTTCTATAAACTCTGAGCTTTAGTTCTTTCCATAGATTTTCTATTTGATCCAAGTCAGGTGATTGGCTGGGCCATTCTAGTAGCTTTATTTTCTTTCTTTGAAACCAATTGAGAGTTTCCTTGGCTTTGTGTTTTGGGATCATTGTCTTGCTGAAATGTCCACGCTCGTTTCATCTTCATCATCCTGGTAGATGGCAGCAGATTTTTTATCAAGAATGTCTTGGTACATTTTTCCATTCATTCATCCATCCTTCCTTCAATGAAATGAAGTTTTCCAGTACCGTATGCTGGGAAAACAGCCTCACGAGTCACACCATGATGTTCCCACCTCCAAACTTTACTGTTGTATGGTGTGTTTGGGGTGATGTGCAGTGCCATTTGACCTCCATGCATAGTGTGTATTATGGCATCCAAAGAGTTCAATTTTGGTATCATCTGACCAGACTATATTCTCCCAGTATTTCACAGGCTTGTCTAAATGTTGTGCGGCCAACTTTAAACGAGTTTCAACATGCTTTTTCTTCTAGCAGTTGAGTCTTGCTTGGTGAGCATGCATACTGACCATGGTGGTTGAGTGTGTTACTTATTGTTTTCTTTTAAACAATTGTACCTGATAATTCCAGGTCTTTCTGAAGTTCCCCACAAGTGGTCCTTTGCTTTTGGACAACTCTTATAATTCTTATCACTCATCTGTCCTGGTACCTGGTCATGGTTGGTTTATCGTGAAATGATATTCTTTCCACTTCTAGGTTATGGCCTCAACAGTGGTCCTGGGAACATTCAGAGGTTTAGAAATCCTTCTGTAACCAGTGCCATCAGTATGTTTTGCAACAATAAGGTTGCGAAGGTCTTGAGAGAGCTCTTTGCTTTTACCCATCATGAGATGTTTCTTGTGTGACACCTTGGTAATGAGACCCCTTTTTATAAGCCATCAGTTGAGACTGAACCAGCTGATATTAATTTGAACTGACAAGGGACAGAATTGCTTTCTAAATACTGATAGATTTCAGCTGGTGTCTTGGCTTTCCATGCCTTTTTGCATCTCCCTTTCTTCATGTATTCAGTACTTTTTCCCTGTGTCATTCCATTTTATTACACATAACTTAATTTCTGAATTTATTTGTTTTGGTTTCTTTGTATGCATGGATTGTTACCAACGTGGTGAAAAGTTCATGTCAATAGCACCTTTTAGAGATATATTTACTGAGAAAATGTTGACATGTTCAATACTTATTTACCCGCTGTATTATAGTATCTCTTTTATACAGTAAAAACTTAAGATCATTTTGTGTGTAAGTGGGTTGTTTACCTCTCTAGTTGGGTAACACAGACTGCTTACTTAAACATTGTAAATCCAACAGGGGATTTTTGTGACTTTAAAGTCTAAGGCTCCATGCACACTGGACATGCAAGGTCACGTTAAAAACACAAGGTTTTTTTGCATTAGCATTTAGTTGCATTTTTGCCACATTTTTCCATGTTTTTCTGTGTTTTTTGTGTCTTAACCAAAAAAAAAAAAAAATTTTTTTTTGCTAAAGAAAAAATCCAAAAACACTGGTTTGCCGCATTTTACCACGTTTTTCAGAGTTAGAGCATTTTTACAGCTAAAAAAACTCCTCTATAAAACCCACTAGTTCTGTTTTCCAGTAAAAAGAAAACTCATATTACAGCCTATGTGTGCATGGACACATAGGATAGCATGCTGGGGAGTTTACTGGCTGTAGAAAAAAAAATGGCAGCTATAAAAATGTCCAGTGTGCATGAGGACTATTATTCTGTGAATATATTATCAGCTTTCATCTGATTGTTTGTTTTGATTTTCAGGTGTTTACAGCATTGGAAAAGAGTCTCTCCTTGTTGACTTGGCTAAGATGTTTAAAACTTGGGTGTTTGTTAGCCCGCAGAGAATGGAATTGCTTAACCTATTTGATATTGAAGATGTTTTTACAACACAGGAGGGAGGAGGAAGAATCCGCATTGTGGAGCAGAGTGAGGTCATTTATGCTAACATGGTTAAATGGAATTCTATTTACCCAACAATAGCTATTCTCCCCACCAGTCGAAAAGTGAAGACCTGGCATAAAGATATCTATGTTGTACCATACTCTGATCATTCTTCATTTGATGAACTCCATGAGTTTGTATCTCGAATAAGGCCTTGTTCCATAGTTCCTGTGGTGAAGACACAACAATGCTGGCTTCACTTTAATAAATATTTAAATTCTGAGACTATGAAAAATGATGTAAGAATTCCAAGTTCTGTAAAAGACTATATGAGAAGTCAAAGATTATCAAGTAAATTGAGAGCTAAAATGATCAAGGTTTCTGTAAATAGAACGTCACCTCGAGGAGTTGAATTTGAAACTCCTGAAAAACAAAGTAATGCAGAGCATGTTTGTGGAGGAGAAGGTAAAAAGACCACAGTTTCAACAGAGCAAAATAACCGTCAGCAGCTAAGTACTATTGGTGGGTCTTCATTGATTTCAGAACAATGCTCAATTCCAGCACCTTTGAGCGAGTCTACCGTGCTTGTGTCAAACATGAACGCCTCGACAGATACCTCTCCATGGTTCAAGAACACTTTGCAAACTTTTGAAAATGAAACCGAAATGCCTTCTGCCATCTGGTCACCCCAGAACATGAATGGGACAGTTCTGTCTGACACATCTGTATTGTATGCAGAAACAAAAAGTAACGTCATTACTTTTTCTTCTCATGCTCCATGTGTGCCTTTATCCTTTACAAGGGCAGATAGGCTTTCCTTGTTGCCTTGTAGTAGAAGACAACTGTTTGGTTCAAAGCACTTTCATGATCAAGTTGAGCAATATATTAGGAACTGTATTCACTGAAGGAATGCCGCTAAGTCTGTTGGAGATTTTTTTATATATATTTTGAGCAAAGGTACAGACTTATTTTCATTATGTTCAATGTTTGGAGTGCTCAGCACAGTAATATTTGAATAGAACATTAGCACTTTGCTTGCACTATAAAAAAGCCCATTTAAAGGCCTCTTTCTGCTACAGTTAGGCTACTTTCACACTGATCCACCGCAAAAACGCACAGGTGTTTTTACCATGATTTTGCTGCGCTTTCTGGGCGTTTTTATAAAGGATACATGACTTAAAAACTGCAGCACAAATGCTTCTCAGAGGTCAGAGGTGTTTTTGAAGCGTTTTTCATTGATTTCAATGGGAAGAGGTTTTTTGTTTTTTTTTTTGTTAACTCCCCAAACATGCCCCAAGCAGGAGATTTAACACAGCACTGCAAGCTCAACGCCTCAGTGTGAAAACATACATAGATATACATTCACATACACAGGGAAGCCGTTTCCTTAAACTTTTTAGGCGCTTTTTTTTTTATGCAAAAACGCTTGAAAAACTTCTTCAGTGTGAAAGCAGCCTTACTATGTATGGGTGGGACAAACTAGCAAAGTAGCCAATGCTTCTGTATTATAACAGCTAGTGCCTATTATTGCAAGGCTGCTTTTTTTTTTTTTTTTTTTTTTTGTACATGTACAATGTGTGTTGTAACAGTATGAACCTGGTCTATATTTTCTGTTGCTGTTGATTACGTCTCTCTTGGGAACCTTTTTTTTTTTTTTAATTTTAATTTCTATGACACTAGGCAAAAATGAGGGCATATGGAAGGCATAGGAAGGCGTAGAGCAAAGGAAAAGTGTTTTGGTTTCTGTATTATATCCCCATCAGAGAATGTTCATATTGCCTACTCTAAGGAGGGTGCATATCCAGCTGTTTTGGGTTTTTTTTAGGGGAGGCTAGAACCTTGGCCAACTTTTTTTTTTTCCCCCTACATAGCCTCTCTGATTCAACGGTTGTCATTGTGACAGGAAGGGAAGGGAATGGCAGGTAAGACATTATGGAGGTTGTAATTCTTTCCCACTCTATCCAAAAAAAAATTTTTAAAGTGCCTCCTTGACTTTAAAATTAAATAATAGATTTGATCTAAGGTCCAGTTTAACAGTATAGGTCTATGAAGAGGGTTCCAATTGGTACAGTAACCAAATCCCAGCACAATTACATAGAATTTTTCATTTGAAAAGCTATTTCTGGCCTTCCTTTTGGTAGTGCCTGATTGCCCTGTGTTTTGCTACTGTTTGAGGTCTGCTTCACACTATTGCAATCAGTAGTGAATGCAGCTTCAGCTGTGATTATGCAATGCGAACGGTTTGCGATTGTCAGTAGAAGAGGTTTTCTCTGCTGTGCGTTTTTGGATGCAGTTTCACTACTACACACAAAAAATGCACCAAATTGCCTTTACAAATGTTTTTGATACATTTCTGTCAAGTCTATGGACCACAAAATCGCACTGCATCATAACAATGTAGCACAGGACCCTTCCCAAAATGCGCATCGCAGTTGTGATGCATTGACGTGAACAGCCACAAAAACCAATGCTACTTCCATTGTCATGCCACTCAAATCGCATCAGGAGTGGCACTAGTGTGAACTAGTCCATAATGGTTTGTGGTGTATCTAATTTCTAAGCATTTCTGCCAGCAGTTTGTGCACTTTCTATTTTCAACAAAATAAAAAGTAACACTCCCATTGTGCAGTTGGAGCAGAGGACAGTTTTTTTGTGATAAATTGCCTCATTATGTCTTCAGATTAAACAGTTGGTTTGGATATCATTGCACTCATTATTTTATTGCCTTTTTTTTTTTTTTCTTTGCACAAACAAAATAAACTTGAATTTGAAATCAGATTTTCTTTTTTGATTTCTTTGTTTTTACACCATGTCTTTGGTCTCCTTTTTCATAAATTCAGGGAAAAGTGACATTCTTTTGAAAGGTCAATTGAATTCTGCTGCCACTAAGCTTTCCACTCTTCCCCACCGCTGCGCTGCTCTGCCAGACTGCTGCGCTCTGTGTGACCGCTCTCTAGCATGCTGCCAACTCAGGGCAAGCTTAGTACAGTTAAACACACACCTAAAAATAAAAATGCCATATACTTGTTATGCAGCTTGCAACACAGGTGCATTAGGTGCCATAATTTAATAAATGGCACTGCAGCAAACAAACACCTGTATTGTGTTTATAGGGGCACAGTGGTGTGAATGGGCCCTCCGTTCAAAAATGTGTCTGTTATATTTGTGCTCACATGTTGACCATAACCATGATTTCCTGACTGTGATGACCTAAAATGGAAGTCCAGCCTATCCTAACTACGCTTAAAGCGGTAGTAAACTCTAGGGAAAACAAAAACTTTTCCCCTGAAAAGCAATGTTGTAATGTGCTAGTATGCATGGGTATGCCATTCCTTCAGAGTGCATGCGCTGGTGCTCTACACAGGTAAATATCTCCTATACAGTGCACATTTAGGAGATATTTACAGTACCTACAGGTGAGCCTTATTATGATCTTACCTGTAGGTACAAGTACAAAAACAGACTTTTACTACCACTTTAAAGTGGTTCTAAAGGCTTGTTTTGTTGTGTGTGCATTTTTCTTTAAAATAATGAACCCATTATACTTACCTTCTCTGTGTAATGGTTTTGCACAGAGCAGCCCCAATTCTACTTTTCTCAGGTCACCTTCTGTTGCTTTTAGCCCTCCTCCCTGCTGAGTGCCCCCAGAGCAAGCTGCTTGCTCTGAGGGCACTTGTGGATGCTCGCTCCTGAGCTGCCTCCGCGTGTCTATGGGAAACAGAGCATGGCTCAGTCCCACCCCCACTCCCTCCTCACTGGCTGTGATTGACAACAATGGGAGCCAATGACTCCCACTATGGTGTCTCAGCCAGTGAGAAGAAAGAGAGACCCAGGAGAGCCACTTCTCTTGTGACATTGCTGGATCAAGTTTGTGCTCAGGTACGTATTAAGGGGAAGTTACATAGTTAGTCTGGCTGAAAAAAGACAAAAGTCCATCCAGTTCAACCATTAAAAAAAAAAAAGTTATAAACCTATACCCACAGTTGATCCAGAGGAAGGCAAAAAACACAGCAAAACATGATCCAATTTGCTCCTGCAGGGTAAAAAATTCCTTCCTGATCCCCGAGAGGCAAACTGATATTCCCTGGAACAACTTTACCTATAAATGTTAGTATCCAGTTATATTCTGTGTATCTAGAAACAATACAGGCCTTTTTTAAAGCAATCCACTGAGTTGGCCAGAACCAACTATTAAGGGAGTCTATTCCACATTTTCACAGCTCTCACTGTGAAGAAACCTTTCCGTGTTTAAGAGATTAAATTTCTTTTCCTCCAGACGTAAGAGTGCCCATTGACCTCAGGGTGAATAGCTCTACACCCAGTTCACTATATGAACCACTGATGTATTCACACATGTTGATCATATCCCCCCTTAATCTCCTCTTCTCAAGAAAGAATACATTCAGTTCCTCTAATCTTTCCTCATAGCTGAGCTCCCCTCTTATCAGTTTGCCCTTCTCTGTACTTTCTCCAGTTTCCCAATGTTCTTTTTGTGAATTGGTGCCCAAAACTGAACTGCATATTCCAGATGAGGTCTTACTAATGATTTGTACAGGGGTAAGATGATATCTTTCTCTCTCTCTGGAGTCTATACCTCTTTTAATACAAGAAACTTTAGAAACTGCAGCTTGGCATTGCATGCCATTATTAAGCTTGTGGTCTACCAGAACCCCCAGATCCTTCTCCACCATTGATTCCCCCAGTTGTACTCCCCCTAGTATGTATGATGCATGCATATTCTTAGCCCCCAAGTGCATAACCTTACATTTATCAACATTAAACCTTATTTGCCACATAGTTGCCCAATTAAACAGTGCATTGAGGTTGGCTTGTAACTTGGAGACATCCTGTATGGCATTAAAATACTGCAGTGCTTGGTGTGAAAAAAAAAATATATACATTTTGTTTGGGTACAGCATTGCATGACTGCGCAATTGTCAGTTAAAGCAGCGCAGTGCCACTTAGCAAAATTGGCCTGGTTATGAAAAGGGGTAAAATCTTCCCTAGGGCAAGTGGTTAAACTTTCTCACACTCCCCCTTCTAATCACTATTCTACCTACTCTATGGAAGAAAGATGTCTATACTTATGTATTCTGAGGGAGCTCCGGTCACATGACCTCTCCAGTGTAGAAGAGAGATCCCTGACAAAAGCTGCAGAGCCTGGTTGCTGATTTCATCCATAGGCTTATAATGGGTCTCCATTGTTGGCTTGACCTTCCTCTATCCAGAAGCCACCACTGACAACTGATCATGTAACCAGGGGTGGACTGACAACTCATGGGGTCCCTGTGTCCTCACCCACACTCAAACCACACACAAAAAAGCCTATGAAAGGTACCAGGGGCCTCTCATGAGGCCCCCACTGAATCCCGGGCCCTCGGGCAGTGCCCAAATGGTCAGTCCGCCCCTGCATGTGACCAGATCAGATTGCTCCCAGAATAGGTAAGCATACACATCTTCCTTTCACAGGGCAGATAGAATAGGGCTTAAGGAGGGTTGGGTACAGATTTAAGCTTAGTTGGGGAAGGCTGGACTTATTATATTATTATTATACAGGATTTATATAGTGCCAACAGTTTGCACAGCGCTGTACAAAATGAACATTCACTTTAATATCCAGGATCCAATCCCTTTTCCTTATTTCAAGTGGCATCTACACACACATTTCTGTATGGATTGTTACAATTATTTCCAAGAATACAGGGCTAAAAGTATTTATCTTTCCAAGCAAATTAATGTTCATACAATTACAAGTATCCATGTCTTGGGATTGTTCCTCCCATATGTCCCTGCAGACTATCTGCATAGCCGCTAGGCCCCCCTACGTACATCTAAACTTTGCTCATGGAAATCATATGTCTGTATCCTCTTGTAATTAAATTGTTTAAGCATTCCTCTCTCTGTT